TGAGGGGGCATATGGGTAGTCAATCTGCCAGTCGGTTCCAGGGAGAGAGCCTGTAAAGTCAAATTCACTGCTGGAAGGCACACATGGTGTCAAGCGATCCGCCTTGAGGTTTTCTCGACTTATATATTCATAGCTCCTCCCCTTTATGCAGCTAAAGTCAACTGATTGGGTGAGAGAGGTAATGGGCTTGACTCCCTCCAAGACCATGGGAAGAAGGTGGGACTATGGCTTATTCTCATAGGGTCAAAGGAACTTCCAGAACAGAGAGCCCCTATGTTATTGAGGTTTAAAAGAAGGTGGAGGTTTGCTCCTTGCAGAGAGGCTTTTGTGCAGAGAGTAAGCCTGAGTCATAGAGGAGATTAGCGAAGAGGGGCAAGGTTGAAAAAGAAGAGAAGTCAAGAACCTGTATAGGTGGAAGGTACCAATATGAAAGAGATTGTGTAAATGGGTAAGGATGGTTGTAGCCTGGCAGTTGAGTATACAGTAGAGGTCTCCCATGAGCCACCATCCCTGAGGGCCAGTGATGGCACTCTGCTTCATGAGGGCCTCCCACTGTGTCAAAGAATAAGAGGGAGTAAAGAAGGCAGGGGCAAGAAAAAGAACCAAAGGCATATGGGGGTCTTGAGACTTGACTCTTTAGCAACCCTAACTGTAGAAGGATTGCCCCAGGCCACAGGACAGGTCAAAGGTTGATGTCCCTTGAAGTACATGACAGCTGCCTGTGCTGTTCAATAGGAAGCCTTCAGTAATTTGAGAATAAGGGTTCCGTTGGTGATTGGGGTCCCCTTAGCTGATAGAAAACATCTTTTTCCAAATGACAGCATAGTGGTGTAGGATACATAAAGCATATTTAGAAAGTGTAAATGTTAATTACTTTTCCCCGGAATAGGGTGAGGGCCCAAGTGAGGGCAGCAAGCTCTGCCTTTTGGGAGGACCATCTTAGGCAGTGGTCCTGTCTCTATTACCTGGTCATCAGAGACAATTGCATATCCTGCCACTTTGTGCAGAAGGAAAAGGCCATCAGAGTGCTGAGCCAGAGAAGAAAAGGAGGAAGGTGGGGTGGAGCAGGAATGTCCTGAATGGGAGGTGGAGGGGCTGTGGCTGTGGGTGGTGTTGGCAGGTGTCCAAGTCATCAGTGGGTTGAGAATCAAGAGCAGGCTAGTAAGGGGGGGACTGGGTTTAGGTAAGGAGTTGTTAGGTGAGATTTGGGCTAACAGGATCTGGTAGGTGCGGGGAGTGGCATAGAGGACAGGTGAGACTGGAGGGCAAAGAATGCTTTTGGATGTATGTATAAATGGCAAGGCTTACTACTCCTTGGAGCCCCAGAGCTTGCAGATTCCTAAGGAGAGAAGCCAGAGAAGTGATGGGGACAGCTTTGGAGACCCCATTTCCCATTTTTGAAAAGAGGAAACAAGATGGCAAGAGCAAAGAGAATTGCACAGTGAGATATAGATGTGCAAGGACAGTCTTCTCCTTCCCTGACCATGAGGGGGCAGCAGTGAGAAGTACTGCTAGGAACCTAGCAGTGAGAATGGAAAAGGCGAGTTGAAGGAGGAAGAGAGAAAGAGGCACGAAAAGGGCAGAAGTGTCCTGGGGCAGTGTCCCTAGGAGCTTAGTAGAAGCTTAGTAGAAGGGCATCCCTTGTGGAAGCCTGGGGGCGCACTGGGGATGAAGGGTGTAGCCTGGCATGCTAGAAAGGCTTTGGAGAGAGAGTAAACCAGAGATCAGGGCAACCCAAGCGGACCGTTTACCAGTGGAGGAAGAGCAAAGGAAGAAGGAGGAGGTAGGATATCCAGAGGCACCGGCACCAGACATCTGAGGTCGTCAGAGCGTCAGGTCAAGGAAGGAAGTCCAGCGTGGGGATCCAGGGTAGCCTCCTCTCCCAGGTACCAAGTCACGGCCCCAGGACCACAAGAGACCACTCTGAAATGAGAAAAAGGAGAACTTTATTGGGATATAGAAATGCTGGGCCCCTCTTACGGAAGAAAGAGAGGTCAGAGGTTTCTTGTCACAGCAAGATGAACTTTATAGGATTTCTTTCTTTTGTGGGTAGGGGGTGGTGGTGGTGTGCAGAAGAAGGTAGCAGAGGTGAGTCAATAGCAGGTGCCTTTGTAAGGCGGAGTGTCAGTTAGGTGTTTTTCATTTTTTTCATTTGGCTGTGATGGAAAATTGCTGTTTGATTAGTGTACATTGTTAAAAACCCGAGTCAGGTAGTTACTTGAGGAACTAGGGTGGTTAAGTTTCTGTTTCATGGAATATCAGTACTTCCTCTCCTAACTTTTCACATCCCCACTTTTTTGTTGTTGTTTTATTATTTTTTTGTCTGATTTGAGCTTGCATGGGTCTTGTGCATGCTATTACCATCACTGTAAGTTCATCCGAGTAACTTTCCAGATGTCTCTAATAATCTAATCGACTGCAGGCCAGTATGAGGAGCCTCACATTTAGAATCTTCCTGAAGATATGGAGCATTCTGAAAATTAAAACCACCACTTTCCTACCTAGCAGAGTTTAAATCTGACTCTTGCTGTCTTCTAGAACCTGTTTTCCAAAAGCTCTTTCAGGTTCAACTTTTGTGCTCAGTGAATAAACATGAAATGATTGAGCACATGGTGAGCAATTAAAACTTAATTTATTCTAATTCCTGCCGGTGCTGATTTTTCTTTTAAAAATAGAAGTTGTTTCTCACAAATAAATCAAATTAAAGCAGCGTTTTAGATTTGATTTTTAAAATCCATGGCTTTCACTATCATTAAGTCTTAAAGAGTATTTAGCTCCATTAAATTACAAATTTTCATATTTTAAAAACTAATAAATCACAGCTCCTCATGCAGCATCAGCCAAGGGTGTGTTCCCCCTGTAGTGTCTTCACTACTGTGAGATCATGAGTCAAGGGAGTGCTGGTGGAAATAAAAAGATATTTATGGTATTTTATCCTTATGCTGTAAGAACCTTCAATTCAAAATGTCTATTGATGGCTGGTGAGGTGGTTCCGTGGGTAAAGGAGCTTGCCACCAAGCCTCATGAAATGTGTTTGATGCGTGGGATGTACATTTGGAAGGAAATAACTGACTTCAGAAAGCTTTCTACATGATTGAGTATAGTAATACACATATACTACATTCATGCACACATACACACAGCCCCCCCAATAAAAGTGAAATTAAAATTTCTGTTTAATGTCAAACAGCATCAGAGGCATCCCTTAAGAGTTTGTTTAAGATTAAGCTCTTAGCCAGGCATCATGGAATACCTTGAATCCCAGCAGTCAAGAAGCCAAGGCAGGAGGGTAGTGAGCTGGAGGCCAACTTAAATTACATAGTGAGATAATGTCTTTAAAAACACCCTCCAACCTCTTGAATTACACGGTTGACTACAAGATTGGCAAGTGATTTTATTCTGAAATAACTTATTATTTGCATTTAGGGTATATAATACCATAATACAATATTCTATTAATGATACATGTATTAGCCAAGTGGTTGCCATAGTGCAGCAAGGGTATGTTTCCATCATTTCACTCCCTTTTATCTTGCCTGTTTGATTTTGCTTCTGTGATAAGAGCAACTAAAACCTGTTCATTTGGCAGGAGTCCCAAATTCAGTGCATTTTTGAACCAGTAACTCATGCCCTGCTTATTTCTCTATGCTTTGCTTTCATCCCTCTTATCAGATGCTTGTATCGTCTCACCCTCTGACCTGCCTCAGTTTCTCCTCTTCTTCCTCCTCTTCCTCCTCCACTTGCTCTTCCTCTGCCATCTCCTCCATCTGCTCATTTTTCTTCTTTGCCCTCCGTCTTCCTTCTTCCCCGTTCTTGCTTCAACTTTCTTCCTCCTCCTTTGCCTTTTCATCGTCTGCTTCAAGCCTTTGCCCCTGATGAGAGCCTAAGAACTGAGGTGTCCCTCTCTGCTGCAGAGAGGAGCTATCCTTGCAAAAAGATCTTGAAAATATAAACATCTCTTATAACAAACAGTGTTTGTCCTATGTTTATAGTTCTTTTCTTTTTTGTGACTGTGTTTTGTGTGTGTGCATCTGTATGAAGGTATGTATGCACATATGTGCACGTGCATGGGGAGACCAGAGGACAGCCCTAGCTATCATTCTTCAGGTGCTCTCCACTTTGTTTCTGAAACAGTGTCTCTCACTGGCCTGGAGTTAACCAAGTAGACTATGGGATTCTAAACATGCACCAACAGCCCAAGTTGTTGTTTCCGTTTTTAACTTGGTTTTGGGGGGAAACAAATTTAGGTTTTCATGTAAGGCAATTTTTGTTTTACCATGTGAGCTCTCAACTCAGCCCCAACCCAGTTTCTCAAAACAACCATCTTAAAACCATCCTTATGTCACAGGCTTATTCTCCTCCAGGCAGAAGATTCTGGCCTCCTCAGGAGCACACCCTTTGCCCCTGCAAGGAATTGAAAGCTGAATGTATAGTTCTGTTTTATTCTGTGAGATAGGATCTCACTGTGTGGTCCTGGCTATCCAGAGCTAGCTGTGTACATCAGGCTGACCGCAAACTCACACACAGAGATCTGCCTGCCTCCAGAGTGCTAGATAAAAAGCTTTTACCATCATGCCTAGCCCATGGTCATATATTTTTTTAAGCATTTTATGTTTTTTCCTAAATGTACATAAACATCTTTATTATGAAAATATTCCATTAGGATATATAATAAATTGTCTTTAAATGATATATAATTTAAAGACTATTTCATTTCTCTAGCTTCAGATTATTTGGAGTGGTTTCCAGATGGGTGGTGTGAAATCAGGAAGCAAACATTTGACTTTTGTGTTATATAATTCATTTCATACATTGCTTAAAGTTATTAAAATAGCCTGTTACATAAAATTTAAACAGCTCTTCAAAACTTCATCTGTACACAATGATTTTTTAACCATATTTTCTATAGTCTGAGACCTTGTGATATGTATGTTATTAAACTGCAATCAAAAGCTAAAAGCATTCTCAGGAATCACCACTATAATTTCTTTTTTGCTCAGGGGTATGGTGGCTATATTGCATCGATGATCTTAAAATCAGATGAGAAGCTTTTTAAATGTGGAGCCGTGGTTGCACCCATCACAGACATGAAGTTGTATGGTGAGTGTGTTTCACAGACAGGCACCCTGTCTATCCCTGGAATATTCTTCCTTCTTTGCTGGCCAAAAGCATGGGGACCAGGAGGTCCAGATGCCTGACTGCAAGGGCTGATTCACTACAGCTGCTGCCCTGAGATCTGCCACCCTCAGAACATCATTGCACTAGCACAGTCAAAGGCACTATCCTAGTGAGAGATGTCCACCGAGGAAACTACCTTCAGCAGATTGTGGGAATGAGCTAGTATTCAGTATTTGTATGTACTGCAGGGGCCAGAGGTTAAGGAAAATGTGTGCAGAAACAGGCATTGATTGCTAGAAAACAAAGTCTCAGTGAAAAGAAACTCAATGGAGCTAATTTATCCTGTGTTGTTAAAGCCTGTCTTGAGTCATCATCTCACTGATTCCTTTAATCTTACTAATGTAGCAAATATGAAATGCAGAAATAAATTTAAAAATAGGGTGGGTTTTAACTTCTTCTTAATTTTTTTTTCTTGGGTTGTAGCTTCTGCTTTCTCTGAACGATATCTTGGTATGCCATCTAAGGAAGAAAGCACTTACCAGGTAACCAATGTAAAACAATCACTACGAAGGCAAAAAGCATTTGTTGCTACAAACTTAGACCAAAATCCTTTTAGATTTATCCATAGCTGCAGAGATCTGTGCTTTTCTTTACAGGCATCCAGTGTGTTAAATAACATTCACGGCCTAAAAGAAGAAAATATACTAATAATTCACGGAACTGCTGATAGTAAGTGTTATATTTGTACCTGTCTGGTTGGAGCTGGCCTTTTATAAAATGTAGACCTTAGACTTAGGACTGCTTTCCAGGGGGCTTTCTATATCTGCTGAACAAAGTGCAGGAATTGACACAGAGAATGAGATGCCAGGCAGGAAGTATGAAGGAAGAACTCAGGGCTAAATGAAGAGTGAATTGTAAGCTGCAAACACTAGTGCTACCCAATGACTCCTTCTGTGGTGATGGAACCTCTTATGTGTATTCTTACACATAACAGTCAGTGGCCACCAAGGATGATAGCCTGATTAGTATTAACTAAGGAAAAAAACATTTTAAGGTCCGGATATGGTTAAATAGGGTTCAGATTAATGCATGTGTGTACATATGTGCGAGTGTATGTATATGTAGATATGTGTCTACCTAGAATTTATTAGTATTCCTTCAAATTCATTTAAAATATTGATATTATACATACACTCACATACACACAAACACACCTACACACACATACTCACACACACACACACTCATATGCATACCAGCACACATGATGTTCCTCACCTGCCTGATAACACGCAGTGATTCAGAGAAGTGCTGGCTTGTGTGTGCAGAGAATAGCATACACACGCACAGACTCCACACAGTACTTAGGGGAAGCTGACCTGCAAGTGTTCAGCCAATAGTGTTGTTATGCTACCATTGCTACAACTACCCAGAAAAACTACAACCCAATTCACTCACGCAGTCAAACTTGAATGTCCCCATTTAGAATTCTGAAGACAACAAATGGCTGTTGTCTGAAGACAACAACATAGACTTTGCACCGGAAACTAAGCCAAAAGTGATCAATTGAAAAAATTAATTTCGGGGCTGGGGAGATGGCTCAATAGGTAAAGCACTTGTTACTGCACAAGGGTGAAGACCTGAATTCAGGTCCTCAGAACCCATGTAAAGCCCTGGATGAAATTGACACACATCTCTAATCCCAACTCTTTTAAGGCAATGTGGGAGGAAGAGGTAGGAGAATCCCTGGAAGCTCTAGGGACAGTTGGCCCTCCAGTATAAATTGGGAAACAACAAGAGACTCTCTCAGAAAAATAGAAGGTGAGAATAGGCACCTGAGATTGTTTTCTGACCTCCACATATGCCCCTGCCACATAAATATTCATCATACACAAAAATAATTAATTTGCATAGTTATCTTTTTGGCCATATTCAAATGCAGACATGATAGAGCACTTTACATATATCTTCCCTGCAATAACACATGAGTTTTACCTCAGTCCTTGTTCATATTACTTAACTTTTTTAGTAACTTACATTTTCTAAGCAGTTTAGACTTAAGATTTGATAATTTTTCCCAATAATTATAATAAGAAAATGTTCAGAAAGATCTTAAGTATATTTGAAATAAACTTAGTGGATTATTTGGAATTGTTTGCCCTCTTCTGTGTAGTAAGATTATTCA